TTTCCAGCTGTGCTGTAGATTCGCTCAGATGCTGCACTTGAAGCACAGATGCAGAGGTTTTTACACGCCACCTACCACGACAACTGCAGGCGAGTTTCATTCAGATGCTCACTCTAATCATGGAGGTTCATTGCCAGGAAGATAAGCATATCTTCATTGTCCGGTTTTAGTTCAATGGCAGGCGAGTTTCATTTACTGTAAAATCTGGTATACAAGTCGCACCTGGTTTTTGAAGGTCTGTCAGAGAGAAAGAAAAGTTTAAACTGTCTTCCTGCGTGACCATTTCATGTTCAGTAACGTCAGCAACATGCAGTTGCTGTGCAGCTGTGTCACTCGTTTAGTTCTGTTTGTTTTCACTTTCGGGAGTTTGCACTCCTACTAGCTACAGTACGGTGGTTGAGCTCTCAGCATGCAGGGAAAGTTGTTAAGCACAAACCCCTATCTTACGAGCTCTGTGCCCGACTCCGCTGGTCACTCTTTAACTTTAATAAAGGACTCTTTTAGTGGCCACGGTAACGGGGGTCTACATAGGAGCTGACCCCTGCTGGCGCGTGCTGTGCACTACAACCCCGCAGCTCAATAAATTATATTAGAGTCAGTGTAACAGAAAAAGTATCGTTTTTTTCGCCGGTATTAAAAGTCCTACGGTTGTGATTTCTAAATACCGTGGTATACAGAAGCTTAATACCGTGATGCCGCCCAAGTCTATTTAATATACTATCATTACAAGAATTGAATGCTGAGTTATTTTTCTGTTTTGACCAAGCGGCAGCCTCCATTCTGGAAAAATGAAGCCTATGCGGAAGTACAAAAAACTGCAGTTCCTCGAGGTTCCCGCTTGAGGCTGGCTGCAGGAGCACAGGAAGTGCCATAAGTCCACAGCCAAAAAAGCCCGTTTTTACCACAGGAATCAACATGTTTACAGCCTGGTTCAAAAAACGAGACATATCTGAGAAGTTAGTGACCTCATGTACTCTCACTGTGGGGAAGGGGGATTTTTTAAAAAGTCATCAGATTTAATTTTATTACGTAGAACGGCTATGCCCATATAAGGGTTGTGGCTGATTTGATTGACAGCTCTGCACGCTGCATCTATCTGTCAGTTCAGCAGGTCAGGAGGTCAGCAGGTCAGGAGGTCAGGAGGTCAGCAGGTCAGGAGGTCAGGAGGTCAGCAGGTCAGGAGGTCAGCAGGTCAGGAGGTCAGGAGGTCAGCAGGTCAGGAGGTCAGGAGGTCAGCAGGTCAGCAGGTCAGCAGGTCAGCAGGTCAGGAGGTCAGCAGGTCAGGAGGTCAGCAGCTCAGCAGGTCAGGAGGTCAGCAGGTCAGGAGGTCAGCAGCTCAGCAGGTCAGGAGGTCAGCAGGTCAGGAGGTCAGCAGCTCAGCAGGTCAGGAGGTCAGCAGCTCAGCAGGTCAGGAGGTCAGCAGCTCAGCAGGTCAGGAGGTCAGCAGCAGGTCAGGAGGTCAGCAGGTCAGGAGGTCAGGAGGTCAGCAGGTCAGGAGGTCAGGAGGTCAGCAGGTCAGCAGGTCAGCAGGTCAGGAGGTCAGCAGCTCAGCAGGTCAGGAGGTCAGCAGGTCAGGAGGTCAGCAGCTCAGCAGGTCAGGAGGTCAGCAGGTCAGGAGGTCAGCAGGTCAGGAGGTCAGCAGCTCAGCAGGTCAGGAGGTCAGCAGCAGGTCAGGAGGTCAGGAGGTCAGGAGGTCAGCAGCAGGTCAGGAGGTCAGGAGGTCAGCAGGTCAGGAGGTCAGGAGGTCAGGAGGTCAGGAGGTCAGCAGCAGATCAGGAGGTCAGGAGGTCAGCAGCAGGTCAGGAGGTCAGGAGGTCAGCAGGTCAGGAGGTCAGGAGGTCAGCAGGTCAGGAGGTCAGGAGGTCAGCAGGTCAGCAGGTCAGGAGGTCAGCAACAGATCAGGAGGTCAGGAGGTCAGCAGCAGGTCAGGAGGTCAGCAGGTCAGGAGGTCAGGAGGTCAGCAGGTCAGGAGGTCAGCAGGTCAGCAGGTCAGCAGGTCAGGAGGTCAGCAGGTCAGGAGGTCAGCAGGTCAGCAGGTCAGGAGGTCAGCAGGTCAGCAGGTCAGGAGGTCAGCAGGTCAGGAGGTCAGGAGGTCAGCAGGTCAGGATGCTAACAGCTTGATCCGTCTGATTTCTCCTCTTTTTTACTTCGTTTGGAGAGTTTGTTTAACACATATCTGACAACATACATGGCTTGCTGTGCGGTTAACAGACCATCCAACAAGTTGATGCTTCAGTTTTTTTCCGTAAGTGATATAGTAGTGTTATATTTACTGCTTACTCATGTGTCGGTATTTATATTTATGTAGTCCATTATTTACGGTCAATGGTTTAGCCAGTCAATACTCCCATTCATGCTAAAGATGCTAATGTTAACATATCTAGCCAGGACTATTAAACTGGGGAAAAAGTAATTCTGAATTCTGACATGTTTAGTTCTGCTCGCTATCGTACTGAGAACAGCCGGTGGTGAATAATAAACCAATGAGCTGAGAATTTAG